TTGAATACAGTGATGCAGTTATCACATTCTACTACATATACTGAATACAGTGATGCAGTTATCACATCCTACTACATGTACTGAATACAGTGATGCAGTTATCACATCCTACTACATGTACTGAATACAGTGATGCAGTTATCACATTCTACTACATATACTGAACACAGTGATGCAGTTATCACATCCTACTACATATACTGAATACAGTGATGCAGTTATCACATTCTACTACATGTACTGAATACAGTGATGCAGTTATCACATCCTACTACATATACTGAATACAGTGATGCAGTTATCACATCCTACTACATATACTGAATACAGTGATGCAGTTATCACATCCTACTACATGTACTGAATACAGTGATGCAGTTATCACATCCTACTACATATACTGAACACAGTGTTGCAGTTATCACATCCTACTACATATACTGAACACAGTGGTGCAGTTATCACACCCTACTACATGTACTGAACACAGTGATGCAGTTATCACATCCTACTACATGTACTGAACACAGTGATGCAGTTATCACATCCTACTACATATACTGAATACAGTGATGCAGTTATCACATTCTACTACATATACTGAATACAGTGATGCAGTTATCACATTCTACTACATATACTGATAGTAAATATTTGTTTATTTCTTCACAGACTGATGGTGTACACTTTAAAGACAACATCAGAGCTGGCAATGTCTCAAATCCAGGTAAATATATCTTAGTGTTCTAAAAAGTCTCTGAAACTTGTGGTTGTGTGTCTCAAACTACTATTTATAGGAGAACCTCCTCTACTGTATTCTGGTAATTTAAATGAGCATGGTTCCGTTATATGGTTTCCTGTGGAATATGCAGTCCCCTTGCTTGATCAATTAGTCCTCAATTTATATACATTTGTATTTTAGTGCAATGATTTATTAGTGCAGGAATATAGAACCTGCCCTGAGACTGAATGTAGGCAATAAAATTCTGAAACAATGTTTGTTTTCCCAGAGACATTGTCTGAAGCTGTAAAACTTCTGAAGCCAGAGTACTTAGTTGCCGCCATAAAGGAACACAAGATGGATAAAGCTATTATCTTCTGTCGAACTAAGATTGATTGTGATAATATTGAACGCTATTTCGCAACAATGGGTGGTGGTAAGTACAGTTGTGGTTTCTCTTTTTGGAATGCCTATTAATCATTTTATGGAAAGCCAAGATATATCTTTACCTTCTTTGCATTTCTAGGTTTCTGAGCAAAAATTTAATGTTGTGTGTTTTCTCCATAATGTTGTTTATATTTCACAGAACTGTGTTGCATTACATGGTAAAAATAAGCTGAATATCTATTTTTTAGTTTCATCAAATTCATTGTGGCTTCATAATAATCCCAATTATTCACTGTGTGTGACATTTGACCGATGATTAACACATCAAAAACACCTTTGATATTGACAGTTTTGGAAATGTTTTGATGATTCTCTGGTATATCCCACAGACCTCATTTTATGGTTGAATTGTATGCATATTATTCAACATGCATTAGTTTATTTAGCCTTTTTCACCAATTAACCAGAAACCTCTCAATGGATTTTACTGAAACTCTGTACATAGGTAATCCACAGAAGTGTATGGTTCTTGGTTGAAATGTTTGCATACTCTCAGCTCACAGGAGTTATGTCATGCCTTCCATTATTGTCTTCATTACTCTCAGCTCACAGGAGTTTTTCATGCCTTCTATTATTGTCTTCATTACTCTCAGCTCACAGGAGTTATTTCATGCCTTCCATCATTGTCTTCATTACTCTCAGCTTACAGGAGTTATTTCATGCTTTCCATCATTGTCTTCATTACTCTCAGCTCATACGAGTTATTTCCTTTCCATCATTGTCTTCATCACTCTCAGCTCACATGAGTTATTTCCTTTCCATCATTGTCTTCATTACTCTCAGCTTACAGGAGTTATTTCATGCCTTTCATCATTGTCTTCATTACTCTCAGCTCACAGGAGTTATTTCATGCCTTCAATCATTGTCTTCATTACTCTCAGCTCACATGAGTTATTTCATGCTTTCCATCATTGTCTTCATTACTCTCAGCTTACAGGAGTTATTTCATGCTTTCCATCGTTGTCTTCATTACTCTCAGCTCATATGAGTTATTTCATGCCTTCCATCATTGTCTTCATTACTCTCAGCTTACAGGAGTTATTTCATGCTTTCCAACATTGTCTTCATTACTCTCAGCTTACAGGAGCTATTTCATGCCTTCAATCATTGTCTTCATTACTCTCAGCTCATATGAGTTATTTCATGCCTTCAATCACTGTCTTCATTACTCTCAGCTTACAGGAGCTATTTCATGCCTTCAATCATTGTCTTCATTACTCTCAGCTCATATGAGTTATTTCATGCCTTCAATCATTGTCTTCATTACTCTCAGCTTACAGGAGTTATTTCATGCCTTCAATCATTGTCTTCATTACTCTCAGCTCATATGAGTTATTTCATGCTTTCCATCATTGTCTTCATTACTCTCAGCTCATATGAGTTATTTCATGCCTTCCATCATTGTCTTCATTACTCTCAGCTCACATAAGTCATTTCATGCCTTCCATCATTGTCTTCATTACTCTCAGCTTACAGGAGTTATTTCATGCCTTCAATCATTGTCTTCATTACTCTCAGCTCATATGAGTTATTTCATGCTTTCCATCATTGTCTTCATTACTCTCAGCTCATATGAGTTATTTCATGCTTTCCATCATTGTCTTCATTACTCTCAGCTCATATGAGTTATTTCATGCCTTCAATCATTGTCTTCATTACTCTTAGCTCACAGAAGTTATTTCAAGCCTTCAATCATTGTCTCCATTACTCTCAGCTTACAGGAGTTATTTCATGCCTTCAATCATTGTCTCCATTACTCTCAGCTTACAGGAGTTATTTCATGCCTTCAATCATTGTCTCCATTACTCTCAGCTCACAGGAGTTATTTCATGCCTTCAATCATTGTCTCCATTACTCTCAGCTCACAGGAGTTATTTCCTGCCTTCAATCATTGTCTTCATTACTCTCAGCTCACAGGAGTTATTTCATGCTTCCATCATTTCCTGGAAATATATTTTGTCCAGCTACATTTATGTAGTTAATTAATTTACCACCAAAATAATTCACATAAATCATCAGATAATTCTGTAGCAATTATGAAATATCATTGGTCAAAAAATACATTAATATATTTTTATTTATAAATATTAAAATATTCTGTAGTTTAATGTCTCTTCCAAATCCTTTTTAGTTATTAGTGATTATGCTTCTTACATTCTAGGTCCTCGTTCCAAATACAACCATCAATTTTCATGTGTTTGTCTCCATGGTGATAGAAGACCGCCAGAACGTCGTCAGAATTTGCAGATGTTCAAAGTAAATTATTGAATTTATTATATCATAATGTTTAGCATTATTGCATTAATAGTGCTTGCAATTTTAAAAGTTCCCAGTACATGTTTGTGTTCAAGTTTGTTACATATTTAGACAGTATAACTAATACGTATAGTAACTTTGTTGAAATAGAATGCTTATGATGGTTACACTAGTTTATCTCTTTGAGTCGTTAGAACTCTATGTTCACCTTTGTTTTTTTTTTTGGGGGGGGGGGGGGGGCTTGGGTTTTTTATGATGTCATACATCAACTCTGTATTAGCAGTCAGAGCTTTTCATTACATATACACTTACCATACTTCCCCAGTCATAACTGCCTTCTTGGGTATAAGACCAATCCTATTCCTAGAGAGAATTAACAATTAAAGTCATCCCCGGTTATAGATAGGTCTAGGGTGTTTTTACTGGTCATCTACACATGTGTATATGTGTTTCATTGCTTAAAGAAATGAGATTTGTAC